GTTCCTGTGATTAATCACGATTATCGCATTGTTATACGCAAAATCCAATAACGAATTAAAAAGTAGTGTATAGCGCACTTTTATTGTAAATGTACTTCTCAACTTAAACAATGTAATCAAAGCAAATAAATACAAAACTAAAGCTTATTGCATTGGTTGCAGTCTGGACGCAGAGTGGTGTGGGGTCTCCTCTCTGCTCTCTGACTGCAGCTGGGTCCGTTGCGTGAGCCTACACTGACAGCCTGTGAGTGCTGTTGGAATAGGGAGGGGCTCACGGCTGCTCGTTGAGGACAGTAACTGCAGAGCAATATGTGCTTTCACGTCAGTTTCTTACTCCAAAAAAGTCTCCAATAACTCCAGAAAAAGTAGCTAGATTTGTCGCTAGTAGCTGTTGACAAAAAAAGTCGCCAAGGGAGTTTGGAAAGTCGCCAGATTTAGCGAGAAAGTCGCTAAGTTGGCAACACTGTTTCCTCTTTCCTGTGAGCGCCGCAGCAGACATGCGCAGCAGTAAGCAACATACTAGGCTCGCTCACGATGGAATTTTATAAAATAAAAGCCAGTGAGCAACAGACTTTTACAATAAGAAAATAAATAATAAAAACTGCGTTAATGTGAGATAAAATAATTGTCGGCGATAATTAATTAATGAGTTAACGCAAAAATAACGCGTTAACGTGCCCAGCCCTAAAAAAAACCACAAAATGTACCAAAGTTGGAATGTAGGAGCTGTGCAGTCGACAATGAGAAAAAACTCTTACAGTGTATATAAATCTGCTCACAGAGTACATGTAAAGAAAATACATTTTATGTTATTTATTTCACCTTGTTAATACTTGTAATGCAGTTCTGAAAACCGCTCAATGTCCTTCATGTTAAGTATTGATTAAAGCAGCATAATCATGTTTAGAGAATTTCATTGGCTGCAAGAAATGTCAGTCAGATTGATACTCTAAGTTTCTGACAAAATTACACAAAGGATTCCTAGATTATTGAGAATGTAACCAGGCTCTGCCATTACTCCTCTTTTTCACTTTTATTTTAAACTATAATGGCGTAACATTGAAGTCACGTTTTATGATTATACTTTGTTGTTGAAGCACAGGAGGCACAGTGTGAAAATAGCGGACGCTATTAATCTTAGGGTGTTGGGGAAAAATCAATTTGTGTCAGAAATCACAATTATTAATTTAAGATTCTGAATCGATTTAAAACATCCATAAATAGATTTTTTTTCGCCTTTGGTAGATCTTCATCAGCAGCCAGTTTGAGCACACCAAACTCTCTGCTGGCTCTTTCTTCTCTGCACCATCTCATCTTCTGACAAAGAAAAACAAAGCAAGATCCATCATCTGTTTGAAAAGACCTTTTCCCCTACAGCACACATATACATAAAGGCTTTAGATGTATGATGAATATTAAGCAGCTGCGGAATCAATATGAATGTCTTGAGGCGTAATAACGACGTCCTGCCACTGTTACTTTCTTGTTGCAGGCAACAATCCTGTCTTGAAGTAGTAATGTGAAAGGGGCAAAAGTTAGAATAATATTGGAAAGAAATGCTCTGCTTGTAACACGCTGGCTAGTAAAGGTGACCAAGCTAACATCTAAACACGGCACACACAGCTGGGACCAAGAGCTGATTCTGTTTTTGTTCCATTCTTTTTTCAACGTCTTGTAATTTCCCACCTGATGCAGGATGAGGAAAATCTAATTGTTTTTGACAAGTGTTTAATATTGACCTGGAAGATAGCCAGTCTTTACAAAACGTTACAGCTGCTGCTGTGCTCCAGTTAAGGGGTGGTATCCTTCAAAGGACACAGTCTTCATAGCAACTTCATCTGCCTAGACAACTGCACCTTCACTAATTATTTGATAGACAACTTTTAGATTCAAGGCCCTTTTTTAACATTAGTATTGGTAGCTGTACTCTTTCCTGACAAGTGTAATCATCGGCAGCTTGACGGTCCGCAACTTTGTTTGAATTGCCGCACAATCAACCAACCAAAAATGTTTGACCACAAAGGTCAGATCCTTCAAAGGCTGGGGAAAGAAAGACACATTTGAAATGGGACAATTTCCAACGGGCCACTGTGACGCTATTGGTCTTGAAATGCACCTTTGTAGGATGCAGCCCATAAATCAGGACACAGTGTGTGACTTAAAATATCCCGAGACACCATGTGCTGTGTTTTTCTCAGCGTACAGTCTGACCCTGCCGTGCTTCATCATACAGCAGGTATGATGCTGAGACAGAGAGGTGGTCTGGTCCGCCCAGATAATCAGGTTGAGGAGCAGAAACATTCCTCCGGTAATGATCAGAGAAGACATAGAACAGACGTGTTGTAATTCTGCTTCTGCTTCATAATGTGTCGTCAGCAGTGAGTCAGAGAGTAGAATAAGATAACACGTGGGCTGCTCACACGTCTGTAAAATAAAGCAGACAACTGGGCATGAATCTTCTACTCTAATAATATAATGTCTGAAATCATTGTTATCATTCTTGTATTCATCATTTTTGTTGTTTTTAAACCAGCGCAAAGACTATTAGCTTCTGTGCATGGGGCACACAACATAACCGCTAGGCCATCCGGCGCCACTTTGTTTGTTTGTTTTAAAGTAGCAATATGTAACTCTGACAGGTAGCATTTAAGAAGGGTACTGGGGTTCAAATTCAAAACATCACCCCGCCCACTCCTATCGAGAGTCAAGACACACGCAACTGAAGCTTCAGTGTTTAGCCACCTCCAAGTCGGTCTTGAAACCTTCTGCGTTCTAACCTCTCTCCATTTTTCAAGAGAATCTCCAATATTTTTAATAGTTTCAGAAGCTTTTTAGATCCAATAGAGTCAGTTATATCTGAACCAGTTCGCTTGCCCACTTCCCTCGGTAAACCAAGCTGGGTCCTAAATCGCCAGATGGTGCCTTAAAACCGCCTATCTTCTCTGGTCAAAACTAAGACATATCAGCCAGCACTTCAGCATAGCATGTTTCCTTCATGTCTGATGAGGTCATTTTAAGATTTAATTCAGTAGATATCTTTTCCAATAAACTTATTGGGAAGCAGAACACCAGAAAGTTGTGTGTTCCTTGGGGTAAAATAATACATTTTGTCAATGTATTCTGGTGGTTTGAAGAGTGATCTTGTTAGTTAGTGTGTATGCATGCTAGAATATTTGTATTTGCATTAGCCATGTGCAATAAGAACCTTCATGTTACCATCGGCAAAACAAAAGTCAAAGTTCAGTCTGCCTGTGGTTTGTTTCATTGGTCTATGTATTGTCTCTGTGTGGGACTCCCTGGGGTTCATTGTGCAAGACTGCTGCAGGAAATGACTGTGGATCATTAAGCATTTACATCCCCCCTCATGTGCGCAGACAGACCTGTTCATTTTCAAATATTAGATGTGCATGAAAAATGACGTCATCCCTGATAAGAGAGTAAAAAGAGTCCGTTTCTGCTGTAGATTATTTTTCCATGTCCCCTGAATATCACTTTGTTTGTAAAAGTGAAGATCATATTCTTTAAACCTTCATACAGTAATAGTATTGCTCCTTATTTTTGTTTAATCAGGATAATGTTGTAATTGTTATGTAAACGGTTTTAAAATAATGTTTGAAGGTAGTTTGCATTAAGTACCAAAACCTTTTTTTAAAACAAATATTAAAAGCTGAGAAAAACGAAGCCAGTTCATCGTTCGTGACAATTATTGGACTTAAATCCATTAAATATGACTTCACATAACACACCATATCACTGTGTGCTTACATTACACATTGAACACTAAAGGACACTGTTCTTTGGTACAAACCTTCTTGGCCATAAACCTGATTCTGATATTGACATAAAACAAAAAACATTCTCTACACTAGAATCAGAGGTTTATTATGTACTTATATGGCACACTTTTATTTGTTTTTCCAAACATTTTAAGATATTGCCCCTCACAAAAGAAATGATTTGTATCAAACAGTTATTGTACATTTAAGATGTTTTAAATTACCTTTATTTATCAAATATCATTCAGAAGAAAACAGCAGCTGCAAAACGCGTTTCCTTAATTGTAGGATGTTTCTAATGTTTAGCCACACAATGCCCATAAACAACTGAATATCTCAAAGATTTGTAAGAGGTTAAAAGGTGGGTGGTGTAATATTCCTGCTGCAGACCTGATACATACAACAGGTTCCTCTTCTTACAGACGTGGAACTGAACTGTAAATATCTGAACTTACTGAGAAAAAACAAGAATGTCTGAATATGGACTTCCTGGCTCTGACCATGACAGTCCGAGTCTTTGTTTTATTTTTCTGCTGCGGTTCTTAGCTTCAAGTGTTATTCTGTGAGCATACTTAGTGAGACAGTTTATTTCAGAGCATGTCTGCTCACACTTTCAGTGGGGTTTTTTTTCAGCTAAACTGAGGCCTTCTATGGTGTCCACTGCTGTCTGAGGTCAGAAAACAGCCCCCAGCTTGTCCTTTCTGTTCTCTTTTATAAAAAAAATATTTGTTGTAACTGTTCTTTTTTTGCTTATATCTTGTAATAAGATGTTTATCTGAAGAAGTCAGATGAATGTGGTTTATATAAAGTTTAATGAGATGTTTTGACCAAGATTTTTGTTTTTGCAGTGATTCAGTCATCATCAATCATCAAGTGTGGAAATCAGTGATTCAGAGGAGGAAAATTAAGTAAATTCATACCAGGAATTCCCTTTTTTTTCCATCAGCACATGTGTCTTCTTGTTAGATATCTTTGAACCTGTTTCTCTGCCAGGAAATGTTTTCCTGGACATAATCCATTTAAATGCTGCTCTGTTTCAAACATCTGGCAGCTAACAATAAACCCCACCATTCTTTAGTTTAGATTTTAGCATAGTTGTGTCAGAATCGACATCCAGAGATCTGTTCAGTCGCTGACTCAGGGACGAAGAGTTACACTGCTGGACAGTGAATACCATTTTTTCGAGCGTGCTCAGTATATGTGGGAGGAATCAGATGGAAGGTATGAGTGACGACATAGTGATGATCTCTGGGTCTACACGTATAAAAGTGAGCGCTCTCCCCCGGTGCTCACTGCAGCTGCGGAGACATCACCATGACGGTTATCTGCTGGGAGCGAACATGAAGAACATCTGGAATCAAAGAGCAGAGCAGCACTGAAAAGGTGAGAGCGTTGAAAGATTGAAAATATTCAGTTTCTCCTGAATAATGAGTCATTTTCTTATTTCAACATGATTCACAATATCGGGTACTGATTGCATGATGCAGATGCATCACTCAGTGAGATCGTTTGCTGGGAAAAATGTATAAAGGTCTGTGTCTTCAGCGTGCTGTTGATCACTTCATTCGACACCTACCCCACGGCTGAGGTTTCAGGCCATAAAAATCACTATTCTGAAATTAAAATAAAGTTTTGTCGCCGATGGTCTCATTTGCTTTTGTAGCTCATGAAGAGTATTATGTTAATTATGTTTCATCACCAGCTATAAACTCCTCACAGGAGCTTTAACTCACCAGAGTCAGACAAGTCCTGAGCAGCCAAAGGATGTTACCAATGTTCCATTACTGAATCATTGCAAACAATATCAGTGCATTTCAGACAGTATGCAGGAGTTTCCCTGCAACTTTTTAAAATAAAAAACAAGCAAATTGTTTGATTTTTTACTAATATTGTATCGAAGTTTAAACTCTGGTAACATGAGACCCTTATGTCATCCACAGTTTCTCATGATGTTGAATGCATCCGACTGGCTGGTCCCAAGCGTGGACCCTGAGCTGGACCCCTGCAGTAACTACACGGCGGCCTGGCTGTGGCTGTCCTCCCTACAGCCTACCTACATGGCTCTGATCAGCGTGGTGGGGTTTGTGGGCAATGGCCTGGTTCTCTGCGTGTTCTGCCTGCAAAGGAAACCCTGCAGCGTGGCCGACGTGTACTTGGGGAACCTTGCGGCAGCTGACCTGGTCATGATGTCCTGCCTCCCCTTCTGGGCTGTCACCATCGCTCGTGGCTACCAGTGGGAGTTTGGCGAGGTCCTCTGTAAGCTTGTCAACGTGGTGATCTCCATGAACTACATTTGCAGCGTTCTGTTCCTCGTGTTGGTCTGCGTGGACCGATACTTGGCTCTGGTGAAGCCAATGAGCTGCAGCCGTCTGAGGAGAGTCTCCTGGGCCAAGCGTCTCTGTGTGGGGATCTGGAGTCTGGGCTTCCTCTTGACTTTCCCCACAATGCTCTTTCGCACAGTGGCGTTTGTAGAAGATGCAAATGTGAACGCCTGCATTCTGGACTACCCCCACCCTGCATGGAGGCTGCACCACAACATCACCAGGAACCTGCTGGGCTTCCTCATACCCGTACTGGTGGTGACTTACTGCACTCGTCACATTGTGGCAGCCCTGAGCGACCGCGGAGCAGGAGTACTCCCCGGGGTCAGGGCGGAGAGGAAGGCCACAGACCTGGTGCTGGCCGTGTGGGTCGTCTTCCTCTTCTGCTGGACGCCTCACCAGGTGATGCGATTTCTTGACACGATCGATTACTTCCAGTTGACCCCTGGATGTCTCTGGGGTCACATCCTGGACATTGGCATACAGCTGTCCACGTACCTTGCGTACAGCAACAGTGCTATTAACCCCTTCCTGTTTGTAATCGTCGGGAAGCAATTCAGGAGACGAGCAGGAGAGGTGTTTGGAAAAACTTTGAATCCCTGGTCAAAAGAATCCACCTATCTGACTGGGAGCTTCGCCTCAGTGAACAGGCTGAATGAAAAACAGCGAATCAGTATCGAAACACTCGACAAATCTGTGCTGAGACAAACTTTATCTTGACATAGAACTGTGGGGACTCTGTGGAAACTGTGATTCAAACTTTAAACTGTGATTATTTAATGAGAGGTCTAGAATATTTTCTTCCTGCAGTGATAAACTCTAAAGCCTCCAGAAACCAAAATGCAAAAGACAACATCCGACTGTGAAATTCAAGATTTGATGAACATGATATTAAAAGTAAAAGCTTACTGTCAATCCGAGGTAAAGATGTTATTGTTTTTTTAAATGTCCCGATGTTGCACACACACTGCACACTTGATGTCATACACAAAAAGATAGCTGCACAGTCAGATGCAGCGGCCCAGCGCAAGTGATTTTAATGTTTGTCTTTACATTATCATTTTTACTGTCTGTCTGTATGTGCTGAACTGCTGAACCATTTTTTGTTGTTTTTTATAGCAATGACAATAAAGATCTGTCTATGCCATTAAAGTCTGTGAAGGTTCAATGTCCAGGCTTCATTGTAAAAAAAAAAAGAAAAAAAAGGTTTTTGATATGAATATTAGATGATTATGCGGTAATGCGGACTTCTTTGATGTGAACCAACTCTGACATGCACAGGGAGTAAAGAGTAAGACTATTGTTTCACTCACTCACTACCCTTCAATCAGTCTGTTTGATTGCTGAGCTGTGAAATATAGGATCAGGACCAAGAGGATTTGGAATGGGTCAGAGCAATGGTTGATTTACTTGAGATACATCCTGATTTAAGAGAGCTCTACCTACTGGGTATTAACTTCAGAAACCCTTACAGATGTTAAAGTAATCATCAGCTGTACAACGCTTCATACATTTTTATCTTGTGTGCACAATATAATTATCTGTACGCAAGACAATAACCTAAGCGCACAAAATATGAACATATGATGGCAGGTCTGCCAGCCGTCGCCCAGTTGAAGCCATGCTAGTCTGCTTAATGTGAACAGGAAGTCTCGCTAGGAATAGATCTGACTGGATCGCTCAGTTGACCAATCCTGAATGAGACTGACCTTAGTCCCTCCTACCTCATTAGCATACGGACACAGAAATGTAGAAATAAATAAATGTAGAAATGAGTAAATGTGGAAATAAATAAATGTAGAAATAAATAAATATGGAAATAAATAAATGTAGAAATAAATAAATGTGGAAATAAATAATGTAGAAATAAATAAATGTGGAAATAAATGAATGTAGAAATCAATTTAAGACATTTAATTATTTATGTCCCATTTATTTACCAGTTTTTATTTATTTATTCACGTGTTTAATTATTTATTTATTCATTATTTTATTTATTCCAGTATTTATTTTTACATTTATTCATTTATTTATTTATTTATTTATTTATTTATTTATTTATTTATTTATTTATTTATTTATACTTTTGTCAGGTCTCGTCCTCCATAGACCTGTGCCTAAAATTATGAGATATACCACAAACTTAACCTACAGAGGGAAGCATTCCACTTCTCAGTGTACAGGCTGCCGGAATTATATTAGTAGAAGAAGAAGAAGAGTAGGCTACAGGACGTTATCATGTGTAGCTGTGCTAACAGTGGGGTAGAATAGTGTTAGAAAAATGGTCAGCGTTTAGTTGAGTTCTCTCTCTCAAAAGTCTCTTGGATGTGACTAAGATGTCCGGGTTTCAGGATGTTACAGATTCATCAGGACGGCGGCTGAGAGACCTGTCAGGACAAACATCAACATGTGGATACGAAGAGGAGATCCACCGACAAAGAAAACTGCTGGATGTGATTTTAACACCTGAAATCAAGCTGCAGAGAACAGGTTAGGTTTTCTTTCCACTGATGGAAACGTGTTTCCTGTTCATGTTTCAGAAAGCCGAGCCTTTAGCTAACACAGACGCACACAGCTCAGTGTTAGCCACAAGCTAGCTGCTGCTAAGACATTGAGTTTACTTAATATATCTGATGGAGTTTCACATTAACAATGAAGAACAGATTTGATGGAATAATAGTTACTGGACGGTAACTATTATCGATTCCAATGCCATTATTGATTCTGCTTATCGTTCAAAATCTTTATCGAGTCCCTTATTGATTCAGGTGGATTTCCTCTGTGTCAACAACACACATTTTATTGTGAGTCTCTGCACACTGAACAACACAGGTATCTTCTCTGTAGCTGTTAATCTATCTCCTGTACCAAATCAGTAATTCTTGTGACAAAAGAAAAGCAAGGACCGATTATGTCTCCAGCATTAGAGAACAGCCTATGAGATGGAGTGGAGGATGCCTGAAGAGCTGAAAGCAGGGGCAGTAGTGTCCCTTTCCTGTCATCACATGAGAGCAGGGTTAGCTGATGCAGAGATTGGAGGTAGACCTCTGTTCAACTGGACCTCGAGCTCCACTGTCTCCCTGATGGACTGGCTGGTCTGCTGCTGCATTTTCAGGTGTAATCTCAGATGAAATGGACCTCAACTAAACATTCATTTCATATCTTAATCCAATGCCATGCACATGACACTTTTGGATTTTACTGCAAAATGTTTGTTTTTCCGTTTGTGACAGTGATTTGATATGATCATCACGATTCTGAGCCTACATCTTCCACCTCCCTCTTTTTTCCTCTTCATCAAACTGTGGCTGACACTGTGTCTCCTCTTGCTCTGATGGCTTAAGAAGTGACTGACCTTAAGTTTGAGTCATATCTAAGAGAGGAGTGGAAAAGTTATATTATAAAAATGATCCAAACCATGATGAAAATCTGTAATTTGATTTGTGATCCATAATGCTCTGTATGTTACCTGACAACAAACACCTGCACATGAGGAACAACCTGCCGTCTGTTAGAAACATACAGATCATTTCTTCTGGCAAAATGCATTCATATTAAATAGTTTATTCATTATTTGTTTTTACTGATAATCTGATAATGAACTCTGTATTTTATAAACACTGAGACTTTATGATGCTTCAGGAACACTAAAAATAAATGTATTAGGCTCGGTTATTAAACTCCACTAATGTTGATAAGTTTCATTGAAGCCAAACCCACCGAAGGGTCCAAAAAATGAGTGATATTCCATAATGTCGCCTGTCTGTCAGTCCAAAGTCTTTTTAGGAAGGAGGCACTCATGTTTCCTCGATCATGGCTCCTCAGAGTTGTTTCCTCGCTTTTCTGTGCTCATGTAAGAGACTTGAAACGTCCTTCAACATGGCGGCACTGAACAACTTTCAGTTCAAGCGAGGAGTGAGGAAACAAAAGATAAGAGACATGAGAAGCACCCCAAGATGCTGCAGCACAGACCTCCCCAACCGACTGACGCCTGAAAATGGCAGTTGAAGCCAAAACCCCTGATTACATGTGCCATGAGACCCAAGGGAAGGGTGTAAACCATAGCTTGATCACTTCTGCAAATGGCATCACAGATCCTGTGTAACTGGACTGAGAAAACAATGGGACCCTGTTGCCTGTGCTAAATAATATCGACAGGTGGTCTTTCTCAAGTCTGTGGTTTGGTCCATGTAACAGCTATGAGGTGGAGGGAGTAATCACCCTCAACCGAAATGAAGAAGCCATGACCTTGTATCAAAGGACATATAAGGTTAAAAGACCCTTCATCCCCATCCTCATTGACAGAGGAAACAGAAGGATGCGCAGACAAGTCCCAGAGGTCCCCAGCCCTCTGCAGATGTCTTGATCTAAATCTGCCTGTTAGAAGGGTTTCAAAGGGGAACCCGTAAGGCCAACCAACGCCTACAGGTCTCCCTGAGCAGCCATGTAGCCAATGACAGGTTGCCAATTGCCCTATGGACACCAGTAAGAAAATGCTCAATCAGCAGGTAGCTCCCGGCCTAAAGGTACTGCAGACCATAATGGCCAGGCTTGGATGTCGCAGTAAAGGTCCCAGGGTCCAGAGACCACTACTGGCATCAACCCAGGTCGGTCAGTCACGCCCCTTAAACTGCCAGACCATGAGGCTCTGCCAAGATCTGGCATGACTAAATGGCGCCCCCTGCTTGTGTCAGCGTCAACAGCAGGTCAGGGATCAGTCCATGATTGAGTCAAAGACACCTGGGCCATGTCAGAGAATCGACTGGCTCTAACTGCAAAACAATGGTTGAAAGTCATGGTGCTCTTACCCTCTGAAGTAGAGCCACCATGAACTTGGGGGAAGAATGCGAGGCAAAATTGGTGAGTGAAAGCATCCACCTCCAATGGGAACGCATCAATCACTCTCAGGGAAAAAAACCAAAGGGGGTAAGCTGTATTCTCCCTTCGCCTGAAAAAGGTTGGTCAATGGCAATGTTGTTTAGGCGATGGGGCCTCACATCCCATTTCCTGATAAGGCACACTACTCCATTCTGTTTGTCTGACCTGACCTTCACAAACTTGCAGTGGCTGATGTAATACAAATACCAAATGAAGCCTGCGGAGAACAGCAGACGACGTGTCCAGTAATGTCCCCATCTATTTTGTCGCTGATGGTGGGTGGGCAGAGTGCACAGTTGCATGCTATGTGTAAGAACTACAACTTGATAACTAGAGTATTCAGTATAACTTTCGCTTTCGAGAATTCAGCTCTCGGCTGGGGTCTCATTTGTAAATGTGTGAGCTCAAAACAGGGCCTCAAACTGGCGTAAGCCACTTCCCCAGAAAAGTCAAAGATATATAAAAACATACCATGTGGTAAAATGTGGAAAATGGTGACTCCAATTCTATACAAGGAGATTTACTGTTGATTTGTGGTTCATCTATGGAGACAAAGTTTTTGTCTTTCTTAAATGTTCCTCAAGTTTTCAGATTTGCTTAAACATTTAATGGTTGATTTAGACATCAGTTTGATTTTCCTTTTTACTGTTTCCTGCAGATACCCAGCAGCTGTTGGTGAGTAAAGAAGAGCTTCCCCCTAAGCAGCAGAAATGGGGCCCCAGTCTGGACCAGGAGGACACTAAACCCCCACAAATTAAAGAGGAGGAACAAGAGGAACTGTGGAGCAGTGAGGAGGGGGAGCAGCTTCAAGGACTCAAGGGGGCGTATGCCAGCGAGTTCCCCTTCACTGCTGTCTTTGTGAAGAGTGAAGATGATGAAATGAAACCTCAGTCCTCTGAACTGATGGAAACAAGAGCTGATGGAGGAGACTGGGGAGGAGCAGAACCAGCCAGCCAGTCAGATCCAGAGAGCCATACACAACCAGAGACTGAGGTCAAGATTAAAGACTCGTCTGAAGCTGAGACTGAAGATAGTGATGATTGGGAGGAGACAACAGAAAATCAATCAGGTTTAAAAACTGTAGAGAACTTTAACATTAAGAGACTGGATATTGATAAGAAATCACATAGCTGCTCTGAGTGTCATAAAACATTCAAAACAAGGCAGGAACTGACCAGACATATTAGGACTCACACAGGAGAGAGACCCTTCAGCTGCTTATTTTGTAGTAAAAGATTTACCCAGCAAGGAAGTCTAACCACACACATCTTAATTCACACGGGGGAGAGACGCTTTAGCTGCTCTGAGTGCAGCAAAACATTTAAAACCAAACAGTTCTTGACAACACACAGAAGACTTCACACAGGAGAGAAACCATTCAGCTGCTCTGTTTGTAGTCAAAGATTTAATATAAAGGGAAATCTTACCAATCACATGAGAATTCACACCGGAGAGAGACCCTTCAGCTGCTCTGACTGTGGTAAAAAATTTAACCGAAAAGGAAGTCTGGCCACACACATGTTTGTTCACACATCAGATAAACCCTTCAGCTGCTCTTTTTGCAGTAAACGATTTAGCCAAAAGTCTGGCTTTAATCTCCACATGGCACATCACAGAGGAGAGAGACCCTATGGCTGCAGTGTTTGTGACCAAAGATTCTTTTGGCCTTGTCAGTTAAAAAGACACAAGTGTGGGGCAGGTCAGTCTTCAGAGCTTCATCAAAACGAAGCTGAGGAGAATGGAGAGGCAGAAACAGGAACTGATGGAGAGGACTGTGGAGGAGCAGAACCTGCCAGGAACTCAGGTCCCGAGAGACATTTACAACCAGGGACTGAAGGCAAAACTGAAAATGATACTTGTGATTTGAAAGAGGCAAGAGAACGTCAGTTAAGTTTAAACTCGAACAAAAAGAAAAAGAAACAAACTATTGACAAGAAATTACATTGTTGCTCTAAGTGTGACAAAACATTCAAAAGGAAATGGGATCTGACCAGACACATTAGAATTCACACAGGAGAGAAACCCTTTAGCTGCTCTGTTTGCAGCAAAAGATTTAACCAAACGGGGCACCTGACCGAACACATGAGTATCCACGCAGAAGAGAAACCTTTCAGTTGCTCTATGTGTAAAAAAATATTTTCTCAAAGGTGTAATCTGATACATCACATGGCAATACACAGAGGGGAGAAACGTGTCCGCTGCTCAGACTGTGGAAAAAGATTTAACCATAAAGGACATCTACCTGCTCAAACGATTACAGGAGAGAAAGCCTTGAGCTGCTCTAAGTGTGTAAAAAAGATTTGAGAAAAAGGACATCTGATCTTGTGACACATGTTAGTGTGCACTGCAGAGAAACTGATTGGTTGCTCCTGCAGTGCATCACACACATGGCACGTTACAGAGTGGAGGAACTCTTCCTCCGGGCTGTTTGTGACCAAATGTTTGCTTGGTCTTCTCAATCAAATGGACACAACTGTGCAGGCTTTAGGTCTTCATCAAAACCAAATTTGAAGAGAAAAGAGAGGCAGAAGCAGGAGCTGGTGGAGAGGACTGTGGAGGAATCGAACCAGCCTGTAACTCGAATGAGGAGAAAAGACTCTTCTGAAGCTGAGACTGAAGAAGGTGAACATGATTGGAAGGAGAACAGGGTACACCAATCAGGTTTAAACTCTGAAAAAATATTGAAAAGATACTGAAGACAGATCAGAAATCACACAGCTGCTTTGACAATATAAAACAAGACCAGACCGGACGGGACTCACATTAGACTTCACATGGTGACGATGATTTTAAGGAGACCAGAGAGCATCAGTGAGGTTTAAACTCTGGCAAATTATGAAGTTGCTGTTAGTGATCTTAGTGTTACATTGGTCTGAAAACAGTCAGCTGCCCTAAATAGCAATACTGTCGGTATGATATTTACACAAGGGGCGGTGTTTGTGTCATTTACACTACTTCAAAATAGAGGTACTCCGTTAATATTTTTCTTTCCTGATGCCCGATACATGATTGGTAACGAAATCTGAAACAGGTTCTATGAACTTTCACAGACATTCGTTCATGGTTGGGTCCACTCATGTTTTCAGAAACTTTTATCATAGAGGTCTCTTGATATGTTTAAGAAGTTCTATAAGACCACCACAGATTATTTAGGTTACTAAAGGTATATTTGTTGTGAAACTTTAAATACTAAGTAACTTAGGGCACACTAACACCAGGCAAAGTAAAATACTTTACTGACTTTTTGGCTTATTTTGAGTTTTCTTCAGATACAGCCAGCACACTCCGGGATTTCTCGATAATAGAAGGCTGTCCATGTTGTGTACCCGTGCTTGTTGTGCTCGTGAATGAACTGCCAGGGCCAAGAAAGTGTACTGTTGAGTGAGCACGGATTGTAGCACTCACTCTAGTCAAAGGAACTGGACTTCAGGGTTGAAGCGTGCTGTGGCACAGTCTGGACTGCCTAGCGTGAGTGCGCCCTTAGATTCTTTGTATGTTCTAAGCAGAATTAAGCAGGGGCACAAGGCTCTGTCTGCTCTAAGGTTGTCAGAATTATACTTGCAGCTATTAACTCAAATAATGATAACACTATTACTGAATGGATCAGTTAAAACTCGTTCAAGAAAACTGTAAACTGTTGGTTTACATTTAATTCTAAAATGTGTCTTTACTCAGTCAACCACAATTAAAAGTCAAGTGATCATGAAATCAAATAAAATGTATGTTGATTATTTACTGGCCTGGCTTGTGTATTTGTGTGCTGCATATCAGGAAGTGAAGCATTCCCACACTGTCTGATGGCAATGTCATCTGTTCCTATGTATTTGTCTTTTTTAATATAGGAAAAGAAAAACATTTAGTTCAGACTAATTTAAATTAAAATCACCCAAAAGCAGAGTTTTAGAAGTACTGAACGGAGAAAACATTTCTGTTTTGATTGACTGCACTAGGGTTAGCTGATGGTGGTCTATACACCTAGCACAGTCAATGAATTTTTACAAAACATTTGGATTTTCAGAGCAATACATTCAAATGAGTGAGGTATAGAAACAGTATTTAAAACAGTAGCAGATATAAAGTCCTTTACATATATAGCCAGGCCACCCCCTCGTCCTACGCTGTCTTTTCTGTACAAGTTGTAATTATTTATTGCAACTTCAGGATCATGGGTTCTCTGTTTAAGCCAAGTTTCTGACAGCACAAGGATATCTGGGTCAGTTTGTGATACAAGAGTTTTCAGGTGGTCTAATGTAAACTGAGTGCAAAGACTCCTAATATTTAAATGCATAAAACCTAGGCTGGTTCATGACTTAAAAAGTCTGTGGGTTAAATAAAACTTGCCCAAAGTCGCAGGAGGGCACACTAGCAGAAGGAAATGGCTTTGGTTTAATTAGAACTAGATTATCATGGTTACAAAAACTTGTACTGGGGAGGAGTTGACGGTGCTTCCGGACACTGGTGGTAAGTAGGGATGTTAAATACTGGAGCAGAGAGTGATGATTAGGGCTCAGCTGAGAATCTAAATCCTGTCTAGTTTTAGTAGACGTGGCTTCAAACACCAACAGATGGAGCTAGAGAGCCTTCTGGACGATGCCAGTGGTAAAGAGAGAGAGTTCCGGTCTGGATCCTGTACTGTGTCCAGGTGTGCAGCAGGGTTCATTTGTCATGTGCATCTGCCTTGACGATTTGTGTGGATGCCATCTCTATCAAAAAAAAAAAAAGATGTCACAAGGTTGGCAGGCAAAATTTAAAAGTTTATGTAAATGACATGGTGCTACACACTCTTGTTCAGTAGGTGGCGGTATGCACATTTACGTTGTTTGCGATCCGCCACAAAACAGAAGGAAGAAGAAGAAGGCCTCCCTCGGCTCTGCCAGCGTTAGCTTGTGTGGCTGTGCTAAATGTGCAGGTGATCGGGGTAATGTTAGAAACGACGTCTGGTGAAGAGTGTTTCGTGGAGTTTTCCTTCTTGGACACCTGGATGTGACTAAGATGTCCGGGTTTCAGGATGTTACAGATTCATCAGGACGGCGGCTGAGAGACCTGTCAGGACAAACATCAACATGTGGATACGAAGAGGAGATCCACCGACAAAGACAACTGCTGGATGTGATGTCAACACCTGAAATCAAGCTGCAGAGAATAGGTAGGTGTTCTTTCTACTGATGGAAACGTGTTTCCTGTTCATGTTTCAGAAAGCCGAGCCTTTAGTTAACCTTCACAGACGCAGCTCAGTGTTAGCCACAAGCTAGCTGCTGCTGCTACGACAATCAGATGGAGCTTCACAGAAAGTCAGTGCTAAAACAACAACTTTGATACAGATTTGGGATCAGATGATTGAAATTATTTTAATCAGAATCTTAATAAACCTTTCCCATGAAATGTGTTTTAATCTGCTTGTTAAGAATTGTAAGTAATTATTCACAAAAAACCACCAGTGTTACTTCCTGCAGGACGCTCATGTTGCTGTGTGATTTAATCTGGTTTTTCTTCTTCACATGGTCATTTTAAATCTGAGCAGTTTCATATGAAACAAAAACACTCATGAGTGATTTCTGATTGCTTAATCAAAGACTCAAACCTCAGTCACAAATCGTACAGAACAACCAAACACCAAATAGATGAGATTTCATCACAACAACGAGATGATTTCAATGCTTATATTGCAAAGAAGGTTTTCTGATGTAAAACAATTTTATTTTGAGTAGATACACAGTTGAATATCGTGCATTTTTCTGTACACTCTTCAGATGTATTAAACCTTTTTACATCAGGGTGTTATACATTAATAAGTTACCAAGACTTGTTGCTCTGCACCGGGTCGCACAGAGAGAAAGAGAGGGCTTGTTTCTAAAGCAGCCCGTAAAATGTAACAATGATGACTAGAGGTGGGAAGAAGAATCGATTGATGTAAAAATCCAGATTTTTATCTTCTGAGATTTTAAATAGATTCATATCTTCCAAACATCTTTCTTTCTTTTTTGGCTAATCAGAAACTCCCTGCTAGATGCTAGGTGCTAAGGCTAGCTCTGTAACTCAGTAGAATGCAAAATGGAGCAACATGAAATTCAGCTCGTCTCACAGATGACTGGAGTAGATCCTGAAGTATGTACTAATTCAAAAATAGACTTTGAATCCATGGATGCAGAATCATTCAGAATCGAAAATAGATTCTCAATCAAGTCGTGAGACACTGAAAGATAAAAATCTTTGTGGAGTAAAATGCACTTCTTTTTCTTCTTCTCCTCAATTGTATTGCTTATATTTATCGAACACTGACATCTCCTGCTGAGCGCTCCGGTGTCCCACTCTCACACTGAGGGGAGGGGGTGACACACGGGCAGGACTCGCTCATGTTCATCATGATTGTAGCGGAGGCGAGGGCTTTTTAAGAAGTGGGGAAAGAGGGTGTGAACTTGTGAGTCTACAATTTTTTTTTTTATCAGAATCAACACTGTAATAAAGGAGCCTGCTGTTAAGTAGTCGGCTGTTCGGCTGACAGTCGGCTCTTGTGGACGCCCTGGTTTGTGTGTTTGTTATATGTATTAGACATCACCAGCCCTTCCCACTCACGGTGAATTTCCCTTGATATTTTCTCCTGCGTTCTCACATCAGCCTCACCCTGAGTTCACACGGAAAATCTGCTAAGAGGCTGATAGGAAAAAGTCGAGGTAAAGTTTGGAGTGAAATATTCAGCTGTTTGCGTTCGCACATTCACCCTGGGAAGTTTTCAGGCGTGAAAGTGTTGTGCAAGTGTGAAAGTAACATAACAGGCCTACATGCCTGAGGTTGGATGTAAACACCCACCAAGTGAGGAAAATCTCCTGCAGTGAGTGGAAAGGTTTACAGTTTCTGAAGAGAGTCTCTAATTTAGGACTGCATGACTTCTTCAGCACTGTGACACCTGTACACTAACCTTCATACACGTAGAAGGAGGCTCCAGATCCCCTCGTCTTCCCTCAAAGCTCCTTTGTGCAGCCCCCTTAGTAAAGCTAGGAGCCCAGTAGGTGTGGTGATCTGTCAGGTATTTAGTAGTTACTGAGCCAGGTTTCCAGTTAAACACAGGGCAGTGAATCTGCAGAAGTCCACATTATTCCTTTTGAGGAGAAGCAGTTTGTCCATCTTGTTCACCAAAGAGAGGACATTGGCCTTGTGGATGGACAGCAGTACAGTCTACAATCAGACAGTGCTGCTGCTCGCTTCCTCCACATACAGAGCGTTCAGCCCTCCAAAGAAAAATCTCTGTAAAAACTTAAATTAAAGCAGAAGATAAAGTTTCACCAGAGGACAGTCTGGTGCTCAAAAGTTCCTGTCCGGTAAATGCAACCAGAAAAGTTAACAAAAAAAAAAATGTTGTTTGCTGTTTTGCAGCGTTTCCAATGGATACAAGCAATCGCAGTTACCACATTTAAACACACGTCTGACAGATGCTGATCTGTTCTTGTGTTTACATTTTTGAAAGAAGTCAACTCTGGTGACATTAATACAGTGAACTCTGTCTTACAGACTTGGACTCTGTGCGCCCTCTGCTGGATATTTTCAGGTTCCTAACATGTTGAATATTTGGACGGTTGATTGCAGAATAATCAGAGACGCTCCGATGTATCAGCTGGACATCAGTATTGGCCGATACTTTGGATGTAACGATAATGCTCAGCGCACCGATAGATCGGCCATGAGCGGTGACAGGCTGGTCCTAATGAGTATGGCCGATTTCATGCCGATCAGACTCACACACGTGAGCCGTTACATGCCCCGCGCACAGCGACACAAAACAAAGGGACTAGCCTATGACTTTGCAGGAAATATTACAGATTAATATAGATAATTAACGGATATGATGAAAAAAAAAAACTTGTTGCAACCGTAAATAGCGTTCACTGAGGCAGAGAGAGACAGAGGCAGACAGGTGAGAGTCTGTTAGTGATCATTTCTTCAGGTTTGTGGGAGAATTCAGCTGAACAGAGTGAAGCAGTAAACTTCTCTATTTCTATCCTTTGATTCATTAATGAGATAGATTCAAGAGATAAAGCTTTTAAATAATGACTGTTTGAAACTTTCTAGAATTTGAAAATTAAATGCAGAGAATTCAGTTAATATTTTGTTTGTTTTACTTCACATATAGACACTGCCACCATATAAATTAGGGCATACAAATAAAGGAAAATACAGGAAATAAGGGGTTTGATTTGAGTGAGAATGAGAGATGGTCATGTGACCTGTTGCAGTTTCAAAGATTTGTTTTGTAACAAACAGTTCCTTAACAGTGAGTGTTTTATCGTGAACAAAACATTAATTTAAATCCAAGAACATTTTCATTTATTTCGTATTTTCGTTTTCTCGTTTATGTTATTCTAGGCTACTCCAAATGCGGTTTGTCCTTTTGTGCAGTTGCTTGCTGCCTATGTGATTATGCTCTCTCTTGGTTTTGCTGATTTGCAATCTCCCCACAGTAGGCTCACGTGTTGTGATACAGGACAAAGGAGGATTGATGTTATTCACGTAGCACCCGGAGGTTCAGTTAGGAAAAATATAAAGCTTCTCTCTCTCTCTCTCTCTCTCTCTCTCTCTCTCTCTCTTGTCTGTCTCTCTATCTCTCTCACTCTCACTCTCTCTCTCTCTCTCTCTCTCTCTCTCTCTTGTCTGTCTCTCTATCTCTCTCTCTCTCTCTCTCTCTCTCTCTCTCTCTCTCTCTCTCACACTCTCTCTCTCTTGTCTCGCTCTCTCACTCTCTCTCTCACTCTCTCTCACTCTCTCTCTCTTTCTCTCTCTCTCTCTCTCTGGCAATTCAATTCAATTCAAATGATTATTATTATTCGCATGACTCATCAGCAATCCATGTTGCCAAAGCATCAATTAACACAGTCAAATATATTGTATATATACAATACACAAATATCCTAAAAAACATTAACAATAAGGATCATTTCTCTCTCTCTCTCTCTCTCTCTCTCTCTCTCTCTCTCTCTCTCTCTCTCTCTCTCTCAGCTAAGTGCGATAGTCGTCAAACTGTCCTGACCCCTCTCAAAACAAAAAACATCAACCTAGAAAAACTATAACAATAAGATCAATGTATGGCCATGTGTCACAGAAATTTAATTTAATTACATTCTGGATCATCATATGTTGGTTTTTCATTTTCATATTGTGTCTCATTCTTACAAGAGCATCAACAAAAGAAAATAACCTCATACTAAATGATATGCCAGCTTAACATACAGGCTACTTGTAAAAAATAAACTTTGAAATGGTGCAGAAACAACTGTCCAGGCCACATGTTTATAAAAGTATTCAATGAATGCATTCATTATTGTGGGAAAAAAAAAAAAGGACAAAATTAGAATCATAAAGTTAATCAAAGAAGGCCTTGATTTTTGTTTCATCTATTTTTGGCTGTGCATATAGATTTTTGCAGAAACTTTCAAATGACTGATGTATGTCTTTTAATTTGCAGTGAATTGAGTTTGTTTTGGGATTCTTTATTTTCTAAACTGTATTTTCCACTTGTTTTTTGTTAATTTGTTAGCAAGTAGTTTCATTGATTGTCCTCATGGTGTCTTTGTTTCAAAAAGATCAGTTTTCTTTTTGAGTAGATTTCATGTAACTCTTTATTTCTCTTGTCAATTTCTATTTAAATTATGAGGTTTCATGAGTTTTCACGTGTAATCTCCACATTTTTAAATTCTTTGAAGGTGAACCACGTTTTCTTTTCTTTTCTTTTTCAGATTGGAACAGTAACCTATAATCTTCCCTCTCAGCACAACTTTGCATGCGTCCAAAAGTATCAGAGGGGACACTTCCCCATTATCATTTTCTTCAAGATAACTTGTAATATCATCCCTTATATATCTCATTTGATTTAACCCCCCTGTGTTTAACCTCCAAAAAGTGTTCGTTTTTTTTCAGCATTAAGTACTAAGTCAATAAATCTGAAATAAGTAAATAAAAAAAAAATGTAATATTTGTTTAAAGAATTTCCATACAGATCCTGGAGGAGCATAGACATTCATAAAGTAACTGGAGCCCCCTGCAGGTATCCCCTGATCAGTACAAATCTACTGTCAGTATCCTTCTCCTGAAAAGTACATTGAAAGTTGAGATTGTTAGAAATCCATGTAGCTACGCCTCTCTGAGAGGCTTTACAGCAGGAGGAAGAATACAGGTCATATCTCCATCTGTTACGTTTCTCATGTTCCAGGTTTGTTAAATGAGTCTCCTGGAGGAGAGCTACGTCTACACCTTCCCTTTTTAACTCAGTCATTACTTTGCTCCTCTTCATTGGATTTCCCAGAACATTTACATTATAAGTGATTCTTTTAATTGACTTGATACTTTCATTTCATTGAATATATGCTCAAGTATGTTTATAACCTCCATACAAATGTATCACCCCATGTGCCACATGGAACAGTAGCATAACAGATCAAAACCAAATAACAATAATAACAATAACAATATGTAGCTACAATAACAAAAATAAGAACAATGTAGAAACAGGGAACTTTGACTTCCAACATGAAGGCCTCTATTGTGGCCTTGTAGTGAGAGTCTAGAGGGAAAGTCTCTTCCTCCTGACAATGAAAGAGGGTCCTCTTCAGCTTTTAAGCTGATGTGTAGTTCCAGAACATTTGTCCATTATGTCCAACTAAAAGTGTCCCAACCCCTATGCAACCTTTCCTATTCCTTTGATATTATATTCTAATAATCTTGGTAACATACATGGGGAGTGGGTTTTATAATATAACTTAAAACACGTACCTCATCTTTGATGAAGAGAAAAGGAGATATATTACATCTTTTTAGGCTATATTTATGTCATAGTGACAGTTTGACCACGAGGGATCTTGACGGGGTTCAGGCGGGGGGTTTGGGGGCCAAGAGCCCGGTGCGCTCTTTTCACATTTAACACTGTGGAAGCTGGGAACTCTAAGCCTTTTATTAGCTAATCTTCCACGAAAGATACCATTGAAATTGCTCCTTCTTCCACTCATTCCATATATTCTGATATTGTCACACAGCATGCGCCCCTCCAAATCAGTCAGTTTGGCTCCTGTTTTTTTCCTGAAGCTTTACCAGCTCCTACAGCACACGTTTAGTTGCTGACTTGAGTCCTTTCTGAATTCTCTCACTTCTTTCAAGATTAGGTTTAAGTTAGCTCTTCCAGTTTGCTCCTGCTGCATGTTGTCCTCCACGTTAGCATTATTAGCTTGTGGCACCTGACCGTCATGCTCTATACTTAGAACAAAACTCTATTTTCCCGTTACAGGCATTTACCTATCCCCCGTTAAATCAACTTTTGATTTAGCTCGTCTTCGAGGTACTTTGAGTAAATTTGGGCAACTTTTAATTAATAATGCCAGGCACTTGTCGCTCTACGCTGCCGTCGTGTTGCCAGCCGGACCGTACATCTGTACCGATTTTTAATTGTAGTGAGGATTAATTGTGTGAGGTACATTGCTTGTCAGTACTTGTCCTGTTCACAGACATATGCCTTACAAATAATGCTCCATGCACTGATGTGAGGAGCTGATGTGTATCTGTTTGGCGGGTTCCGGTGACTTTTCAATTGGAGAATCAAGGCTCATTTAAAACACAGACAAAAATAATTATCAAGTAAACCGTGTTATCTGAATAATCTATTGGCTAAATTGTTACTTTGAATATTTGTATCAACCTTGATTTTAACATAAGGTGCCTCCCAAGGAATAATGACACCTCCTCCACTCCTCTGCAAAACTGCTAAATGTTGATCAATGGTTAATTTCTTCCATGTAATTGAAAAAAAATGTTGATCCTTCTTTAGCTGGTGGAAGTATGGAAGGAAATGTAATTATTGTTATCACTATACAAAGATTAATTGGCAGACATGAGATTCATATTGGCATTCAACCCATTTTTGAGATTTTCATTAAAGTACACCTAAACATTGAGTGGCGGATTTAACATCTGTTTGATTTTTGTTTACTGTTTCCTGCAGATGCCCAGCAGCTATTGGTTAGTAAAGAAGAGCTTCCCCCTGAGCAGCCAGAGTGGAACCCCAGTCTGGACCAGGAGGACACTAAGCCCCCACAAATTAAAGAGGAACAGGAGGAACTGTGGAGCAGTCAAGAGGAAGAGCAGCTTCAAAGACTGGAGGAGGTTGATACCACTGATTTCCCCTTTAACCTTGTCATTGTTAAGAGTGAAGATGATGAAGAGAAACCTCAGTCCTCACAGCTTCACCAGAGACAAACTGAACAGATGGAAACAGGAGCTGATGGAGAGGACTGTGGAGGAGCAGAACCAGATATGTACTCGGATGCAGAAAGACATTTACCCCCAGAGACTGAGGTCGAGACTGAAGTCTCTTCTGAACCTGAGACTGATGACAGTTGTGATTGGAAGGAGACCAGAGAACATCAGTCAGGTCTAAACTCAATGGAAACCATTAAGAAAAAGAGACCAAAGACTGATAAAAAATCACATAGCTACTCTGAGCACGGTAAAACATTAAAAAATATAAAGTGTCTTACCGGACACACAGGAATTTACACGGGAGAGAAACCATTCAGCTGCTCCGATTGTGGTAAAATGTTTAATCAGAAATGGAATCTGACCCAACACATGTTTGTACACACAGGAGAGAAACCCTTCAGCTGCTCTGTTTGTCGTAAAAAATTTAACCAAAAGTCTAATTTGACACATCACATGGCACGTCACTCTGAGAAGAAACTGTACAGCTGCAGTGTTTGTGAAAGAGGATTCTGTTGGCCCTATGAGTTGAAAAGACACAAGTGTGTTGGAAGTCAGGCATCAGTGTTTCATCAAAACAAAACTGATGAGAAAAGAGATGAAGAAACAGGAGCTGATGGAGAGGACTGTGGAAGATCAGAACAAGCCCCGGACTCAGATAATCCAGAGAGACATTTACAACCAGAGACTGAGGTCAAGACTGATGATTCTTCTGAAGCTGAGACTGAAGACGATGTTGATGATTGGAAGACTAGAGAAAAAAACTTGGGTATAGGTGGTGTAAAAATCATTACAAATAAGAGACTCAAGATTGATAAGAAATCAAATAGCTGCGCTGACTGTGGGAAAACATTAAAAAATATACATGATCTTGCCCAACACATGATAATCCATAAAGAACAGAAACTATTGGGCTGCTCTGTTTGTAGTAAAAAATTTCACCGAAGATGGCAACTGACTGAACACATGTTGGTTCACACAAAAGAGAAACCTTTCAGCTGCTCTGTTTGCAGTAGAAGATTTAACCATAAGTCAACTCTGAAACTTCACATGGCACGTCACACAGGAGTGAAACCAATCAGCTGCAGTTTTTGCGACCAAAGATTCTTTTGGCCCTCTCAGTTAAAAAAACACAATTGTGTTGGGGGCGAAAATTGGAAGGCAACCAGGGAACATCAATCAAGTTTAAACTCTGAAAAAACCATAAAGGATCATAGATCAAGGAGTGATCAGAAATCCCATGACTGTTCTGAGTGTACTAAGACATTCAGAAAAAGATGTGATCTGACTAGACACATGAGAATTCACAGAGGAGAGAAACCCTTCAGTTGCTCTGATTGTGGTAGAAAATTTAACCAAAAAGGAAATCTAACCACTCATATGCAACTTCACACAGGAGAGAAACCTTTCAGCTGCTCTTTTTGCAGTAAAAGATTCAACCAAAAAGAAAGCCTGCTCAGACATATGTTAGTTCACACAGGGGAGAAACCGTTCAGCTGCTCTGATTGTGGTGAAAGTTTTCGCCTTAAAGTAAGTCTGGCCCAACACATGTTTGTTCACACGGGAGAGAAACCCTTCTGCTGCTCTGAATGCGGTAAAGGATTTATGCGAAAGTCTAATCTGACAATTCACATGGCACAGCACACAGGCGAGAAACCCTTCTGCTGCTCTGAGTGTGGTAAGAGATTTAAACATAAAACTAGTCAAAAGATTCACATGGCACATCACAGAGGAGAGAAACCCTTTGGCTGCTCTGTTTGTGACGAAAGATTCTCTTGGCCCAAACAGTTAAAAAGACACAAATGTATTGGAGGTCAGGTTTCACAGCTTCGTTCAGACCAAACTGAGGGGATAGAAAGGGAAGAAACAGGAGCTGATGGAGAGGACTGTGGAATAGCAGAACCAGCCGGGAGCACAGTTCCAGAGAAACATTTACAAACAGTGATTCAGGTCAAGATTGAAGACTCTTATGAACCTGAGACTCAAGACAGAGACGAGTATTGGACGGAGAGCACAGAACATCTGTCAGGTTTATTCCCTGTGGAAAACTTAGATAAGGAACCAGAGAGTGATAAGAAATCACATTGCTGCTCTGTGTGTGGTAAAGCATTTAAACAGAAAAATAATCTTACCAGACACCTTAGAATTCACACAGGGGATAGACCATTCAGCTGCTCAGTTTGCAACAAAAGATTTTATCACAAACAGCATGTGACGACACACATGTTCATCCACACCGGAGAGAAACCCTTCAGCTGCTCTCTTTGCACTGAAAGATTTTCCCGAAAAGATAGTTTATCTGCACATATGTTTGTCCACTCAGGAGAGAAACCCTTTAGCTGCTCTGTTTGCAGTAAAGGTTTTAACCGAAAGTTTAGTCTAAAAATTCACATGGCATGTCACAGAGAGGAGGAACACTTCAGCTGCTCTTGGTGTGGCACAAGATTCAACGATAAAGTAAGTCTGACTAAGCATATGTTAATTCACACTGGAGAGAAACCCGTCAGCCTCTCTGACTGTGGTAACTCAGATACAGAGACACATTTACAACAAGAGATTGAGGTCAAGACTGAAGACTCTTTTGAAATAGACTGAAGACAGTGATGATGATTGGAAGGTGATGTTCAAACTCTTAGAAATGATGAAGTCCTTTTCAGGGATTGTGAGAAGTCTGAGGACATTTGTGGTTAGTGTGGTCATCAAAAAACATTACAATTGACAATGGACTTTACCAGACAAGGTTTGCAACAGCAGAGACTTAGAGTATCTACAGCATCTTTCTCTCTTTGCTAACAACAGGGCTTTCAGCTCATACATTTACAGGCAGTATAACTCTGTTCTTCTTACCTAAGAAGGCAAGCAAGACAACTTTTACATCAGGAGGACTGATGCACGTGAGTCTGATCTGCCTGTGTTTGGACATTAAGAAATACTCATCAATATGTTTTGAAATGTAATCACACACACATGGACATTATAGTAATGACAGTAAACAGAAGAAACTGTAGGCGGGCGCTGAACATACTGTAACACTTTCATTGAAAGTCTTTATTGCTTAGAGAAATAAATATCACTGCATGAGACACAACAAGAGCTTTTCACTCATTTTGAACATCAACGTTGAAACCCGGAGGTTTAGACAAAGAAAATCAATTTTCTGAGCCAGAAATGGAGGAGCTTGTGAATGAAGTGAAGGTTAGAAAGCATTTATAGGTTGTTTGCTGCAGCAGGAGGATCACAATCTTAAGAAAAATCTGAGAATGACACCACGTCGCTGCTGCGTTCACGCTGTCCTCCTACAGCGCCAAAACATCCACCGTTCATCATTATGCCCGATCTGCAATATTTATATTAACGAGACCCACACTGATTTCTTCATAAATTGTCAGAGGTCATGTCAGTCAGCAGTCTCCCTCACTCATAATATTATTAATCAAAAGTTTGATCAACGAACAAAAACTTCTAGTTCTTGGCCACATTTTTTCGTGGGAAACTCCGTCTGCTCTGTGACTAATTATGAGGATAGACCTAATGATCCTGTCAGAGATGCTCCGACTTAATGTCCATGTGATGAAGATGTGCTGAGTAACGAGAAGGTGAAATGTGTGAAGCCACTCTCTGTGCGCTATATGCGTCTTGCAGCTCTTTATTAAAACTAAAAACCACACTTGATGATAAATGCACGATATTCAAAGATATTAATGAAAACTGGTGGCGGCGGCGCTATCGTTTTTGTACTAGTTTAATTCTGATTTCTACATCAGTGATTACATTAAAGTCCGGTCCCCTGAGGTCCGTCCAGGATGAGGAAGGCAAGACAGCGCTGATGAAACGTGTATGTGGCGGACTTTTATGTATTTATTTGTTTACTTTTATATCTTGTCATATTGAAGTTAACATACTTGAACTTATTGAAAACGGCTCACTACATGCGCGCGTATAAAACAACGTCCGGTTTGAATGATTATATTATGACGTGGATCTGTCAGTGAAGTCTGATATTTAGTGAAATAAAATGTGTAAAAGGCATCAATATAGGTTACATTCTGCAGGTACTCAACGGTTCTAAATGAGACCCCTGGGCTAGACTGGATCGCAGCTGTGAGTCTCAATCTTTCTAGTGGACTAGATAGTTACTGTAAGTCCTGGTACATTTAATACAGTCTGTAAATCTCAGCTGTGGAGAATTGTCTCTCCATGGGAAACTTTAATAAAAAAGTTTAGGCTAAGTGTTTCAATGTGTGAGCTCAGTAAAGATAAAGTTATAGTCAGTTTTTATAGCATGTGAACACATAATATTAATAATACTAACTTTATTTGTATAGCACAAAACAAGGGTATACTAAGTGCTTTGACATGAACAAAGCATAAGAACCCAAACAACAACAAAACACAACAACAACAAAGGAACCCTCGAGACACTCAACCAACAAGAAAAACCGGACCAACACCAGAACCCCAAACATCATCAGAATAACGGCAACATAATAACTCACAGTAACTCAGGCAACTTAGAGTGAGACCAAGAGGACCGAGGATGTAAGGCGAGATTGAAACATTGATAATAAACATTGTACTTGTATAATCTGTCTGTAAAACTAATTATTGAATAAAAATAGTTCCTGAGAACTCCACATAATCTCTTTTTTTCTTCTCCCTTTGATTGTTGATCTTAGGAAACTTTTTTGTCAGCTTCTGGTTCCACACAGGATAAATCCTTCCTCTCCCTGGGTGAATCATTTTATCAGCATTCTGCCTTGGTCGCTGCGGAGGGGTCTCCTTTTTAAACAAAGTCAATTGAATCTTAATTACTTTTTTCAATATCAAAGTTAGATATATAGATAGATAGACCTTATTGTCTCTCCCAACAGTGACAGAAATTCTCCTTTGACAGGTGATGGAAAAATACTGAGTGTTTAATTGAGTGCTATGCTCATACAATGATTAAGTGTTTGTTCTATTAGAGGTCTTAAAAAGATCAGTGGGAGTAAGCAGGTGTCCTTGAGGATTGTTGGGAAGCTGGTACAACTGGGCCTCTTGGAGAAGAGATAACTTCTCTGTTGCTAAGTAACGTGACATACTGTATGTTATCTGTACTGTGCTTAAACACTGAAACTTCTTTTCTCTGGGAGCTCCTCTCCCACAGCTCTGTGTTGTGTGAGATTCTGTTTGAGTAAACAGACGCTGACTTCAAAATCTTCATTGGAGTATGGTGGTGTTTTTTCACCCACAACAGGACTCAAACAATAAACACAGTGCAGAACAGACATTAAAGGAGGACTGTTAAAAACAACAGCTTATAAAAAGCGGGGGGGGGGGTCTATTTGACTTTGTTCAGGGTGGTTACTGCAGAGGAAATGAAGGATTTTTTGTAGATGTTTTTCCGGGCAGAGGGACTTTGTAGCGTCTGCCTGATGGCGGTAACTGGAAGGAGTGGTGGAGGGGGTGAGAGGGGTCCTGGGTGTCTCTCCTGATCACAGAGCGGTTATACAGCTCAGAGAAGGTAGTTTGTGGGGAACCGATAATTTTGCTGGCCTGATTAACAATGCGGGAGAGTTTGGTTTTGTGTTTGGTGGTGAGGGAGTTGTACCAGGATGAGATATTAAAAGTGAGGATAGATTCAATACGTGATTGGTAAACCAGAGTTAAAATGTGTTTGCTTACATAAAAAGTCCTCAGTTTCCTCATCAGGTGGAGTCTTTGTTGTGCTTCTTTGTAGACAGAGTCAGCATAATGTGAAAAACAGAGACAGGTGTCAATCTCTAAAAGAAAGAACCTGTTCTACAAGCTGACCCTGGATTAGAAGAGAAGGTGATGGTGATTGTGACGAAGGTCCCACAGGCGGTGCAACAGAGTGTCTGTGTGTACAGTATTAAAAGCAGAGGAGAAATCCATGAATAAAATCCTCGTGTCGGGATGTGCAGAGTCCAGGGGTTTGGTGACAGTGTGAGACTTCCTCACTCCACGTTCTGCTTTATAGGCAGGGATCAAGTTTGTTTGACACCATTTTAGACAGATGGTCACACACTGCTCTCTCCATACATTTACACAGCACAGAGGTCAGGGCCACCGGTCTGCAGTCCTCAAGGTCCCTAGCATGTGTCTTTTTGGGGATCGGGATTATGGTGGATTCCTTCCACAAAGTTGTTTTTTAAGACCTTAACAGTTTTACAACACTGAATATTGTATACATTAGATTCTCTGTAGATTCTCAGCAGACGTTATGATATGCTCCAGGCCGCCTGAAATGACGACCATTTCAACCCAGACCAGCTCTGCTCAGAGCCTGACCGTCTTTATCCAAACCAACCCTACACCTGATCCACCTCAAGCACACCACCCTTACTCAACAGTCTCACCATCCTCCACTGAGCCCTCACCTGCTCATTGAATCTGACAGGAAGTTTCTGGATGAGCAGTCTCTGTTCCAGAGACACAGGGTGGAGAAGATCTGGTGTCCAAACACTACAAAAAAGCCCTGTAGATGCTGACAGTGTGAGTCTGAGCTGGGATCACCCAATCATATTATCATCAACACCACCAACGACCAACGGGGTCACATCAGGAGAGATTGGTAGACCAACTCAGGACAGTGATCAAAAAAGCGTCCTTTACTTTCCCAATCAGCAGGATCTTCATTTGCACCCTGCTGCAGAGAAGAGAACCACACCAGCATCACCAGGGACTGTGCACTGAAGCCCAACATGTTCCTGTCCCACCACCAGACACTACACCTGGGCTGCTTGTAAGACCACGAACAGTACACCTGTACCAGTCCCCACCCTGGCCCAGACCCTAAAGGACATCAGAATCAGCTTTATTGGCCAGGTATGCTTACACACACAAGGAATTTAACTTTGGTGAACTGTGCTCTCTTATGCACAAGTATAATATTAAATATCAACAATAAACACGATAAGAAAAGACTAAATCAGAAACAGTGCGGTGGTGAGTAGTGCAAATAAAGCTTAAGTAACATGGTGATAAAAAAAATGCAGTTATGTGACAGATGGGTTAATTTACCTGAGGTAGAGTATTCAATATTTACATTAAAAGTGTACGTAGATTAATCATTTTAATTTAATAATATATAGGCCTACATACGTATATGTACATTGACAGTGACGGTATGTTTCAGAGTTATTTCACAGCGACAGGTCTGACACTGTGATTGTTTAGCGTTCATCAGAGTGACAGCCTGCAGCCTTTATTCTCGTACATTTACGAGTTTAGTCTCGAAATTTTAGATTTTTTTTTTTAACGTGGTCCTAATCCTCCGTCGTACACAAGGGGGCGGAAGGTGCGGAATGGCAACTTTTCTTTATGCTGACCGCATTTAAAAACCAACGAAGGAGAATTGCCACCCAGCAGTTTCTGGAAAAGCACAGTGACCATGTGCGTCAGTGCTACCCACCGTGGTAGATTATCAGAGTGAAGTAAGACAAGACGGCAGTTTGAGTTTTTCGTCAGTCACTCTTGGGTGTGTGGAAGATGTCCGGGTTTCAAGGCCTTAAAGAGTTATTCAGACGGCGGCTGCTCGCTGCTGTTATCAGAGACATGTCGGGACAAACAACACGTGGGTACGAAGAGGAGCTCCAGTACCAAAGAAAACTGCGGAGTGTCATGTTGACACTTGAAATCAAGCTGCAGAGAACAGGTAGAGTAGTGACTCATTTTATCAAACCCAATATTGTTTAGAAAAGTCACGTGAGGCATGAATGTGGAAGATTTCGGGCGCGTGCTTAGCTCGAAGAAATGAACACAGTCCATTGACGTTGTGATTTGGATATTTCAATCCATCTATTTTTAAACATTTATCAATAAAGGAAAATATGAAGAACCACTACGTCTATAAATACAACAAACAAATCCACTTTGGATGCGTTAACTCCGACAGGCTGACACAGGCCGTATCCGAATTTCCAAGTACATACTCAATCTTTCAGTAGGCAGTACGTACTATCTGTGCTGTATACTGTTAGTACCTACTATTCAGTATGCACACACAGTAGGCAGATATTTGTTCCTACTTCGTCTGATTCATTCAGTATGGAAGTGACGTCATTTACGTTTCCTGAACCGGCCGCATTCACCCGGTTTTTTTTTAATTTTTTATCTTTATTCAAGAAGAGTAATGCGCATATACAGTCAGGTAAACAAAAAACAATATCACAATGTAAATCAAGTAAAAGGCAGATTAAATAACTAAATAACATACAGTACATAAAGAAAAGTACAAATGAAAGACAGTAATATACAGAATATAAAATAAACCAATAAAGACGCATTTAAATAGTGAAATCATGATTTAAATAGAGGGGGAAAGGTTTTATAATAATGCAGATATTTGTTATATTTTCTGTTGTTAATTTAAAGTAGTGATTTCAGTGGGGACTTAAATTAAGATTAAAAATTTATTAAATTAATCCACGCTCGTTTGTTTTGATTTGGAGGCGGACGTGACGTGACGATTTACGTTTAATTTCGCACTGCATTGTGGGTGGTAAAACACAATTAATTTCCTGAAAGCACGCATCCGATCCATACTGCATAAAACCCGGAAGTTAGTATCCATACTGAAATGTTCAGTATACTGAAACTCCATACTGAATAGTACGTACTGCATACTGAACTGTGACAATTCGGAAAGGGCCACGGTAGAAAAACGGTTTGCCTCAATCACCTGTCCCACCTCACCTGGGGCCTCATGTATAAACTGTGCATGCGCACTAAAATGTTGACTACGCTGTGTTTCACGCACATGTCGGGATGTATAAAAATCAGCGTGACCTGAGAATGTGCGGACCATCCCACAAACTCTTAGTTCCACTTGTTCAACTCGCCAGATGAGCCATAATACATTTGCCACTCAATTTACTGAACTATTTTTATGAAGTGGGGTAAATTCAAACATATTTTTCATAGTTTCAGCAATGAAAACACATCTAAACGAACAGATGTCACGCCTTAACCACTGTGCCAAAAGTGACACAAAGGAAACGAGGCGCACTCCCACCTCCTGTGCATGTAGCGCGCTGCACTGGCACCGGAACCTAACAGAGCCAAACGGAGCTATATAGCACCATTAGGATACAGAGAATGTGAAACAATGCCGGATGATGTTGAGGCAAACATATCTCCTCATTATTTAACAAGGTCATTTAATGTGTCACTATATCCACCAGGATATATTCGCTGCATGTATCTTTCCTCATATTTACAATCAGTCTCTGTGATTCCCGTACAGCGTTAGTGAGGACGCAACCTGACTGGCGCCCCTCGGCAGTTAAAGCCCGGGGTGCAGTGGATTCGTGCGCCTCCGGGAGCGCACGTTCAGCTGCTTCGGAGACGCTGGCCTCAGGTCTAGTGTCTGATTTTCGAGAAAAGGACACCTAATAAAATGTGTTTTGTGTCCTCCACCTCAGTCAAAAGCACCTTAATTATTTCACAGTCAGCGAAATCCCTCTGTTTACGTTCTGTTTACATCGTTATTTGGCCCATAGTTTGCATGTGGCGTATTTATAGTAATTTGCATTATTAATGGGAGGAGACAAGGCGGGCCAAATGTGCCACAAAGCAGCTGCGCTCAGTTTCTGTTTTATACATGTGGACATTTCTATGCTTAAGTAGCTTACTTAAGTACGCCATCTTTCAGTATAGAAGCTGCGCAGTCTTTTATACATGAGGCCCCTGGAGCCTTGTTTTAACCACAGCATCTGCCCAGGCTACACCAGTAGAGGGCCAACACACACAACCATGAGGAAAAATACCATGACACAAAACAAACACATCATTTGGCTCCAACAGGCAGGGTTTGTGTCTACTGATGGAAACGTGTTTCCTGCTCATGTTTCATGGACCAGAGTCTTTAGTTAACCTTCATTTACGCACATATCTCAGTGTTAGCCGCGGCTAGCTGCTGCTAAGTCGTTGAGTTTACTGAACTGAAAGTAACTTTGGTTGCTGATGTGGGATGATTATATCTGATGGAGTTTAACATTATCAGTGAAAATCAGTTATGGCAGTACATTTAACTTTACAGATTAACTTTTACATAACTAGAGTATTAGGTTTTAACCTTAAGTTTAGTCATAAAGCAGCATTCATACAAAAAGTAATTCAAAGACTTAAAAACAACATGAAAATAAATTATGATACTAAGTTAAAACAAGATATTAAGTACAAAATATTTCTAACCAATAATAATAAATAAATGAAAAAGAGGCCCCCTTCTTTGTATCATGTGGTACGAGAGTTTCTGAGACATCGATCTTATCAACATGACCAAGACTATCCTTAAAAACCTGTCAGGTATATGACCTGAAACATGCATTCTGCCCTCTAGTGGATTATCATTTCACTGCAGGCAGTGTAAGGGCTTTTTTGACCTTTTCAAAATGGCCGCTGTCATGAAATCATCCACATACTTTTAACAGGAAAATCTTTTTGCTAATTTTCAAGAAGTTACGGTAAGAATAATATTTATATTGTTACACATTCTTTAAAATTGGTATATTCTAAACCAGTGGTTCCCAAAGTGGGGGTCGGGACCCCCTGGGGGGGTCGCGAGACACTGTAAGGGGGGGTCGCGATACTCCTTCCAAAAACATTTAAAAATGGTTTAAAACTGCATATTTCACCCATTAATTTGAAAATACATGATGGTGTTTCGGCTGTTGTGTGGTGTTCTAATGCCAGTGTTTGGAGAGGCCTAATAGTGTGCGCAATGTCAAATGTTCTAAGCACCTCCTGGGACAATTGGGGTCCCCAGTCTCTTGCACAATTAAATTGGGGGTCACAGGCTGAAAAGTCTGAGAACCCCTGTTCTTAACAATGTATAATTACATAATAATTAATGTTAAAAATGTGTGCAGGTATATAAGGTGCTTTAACCCTGAATAGTTATGTCACATGTTTTGTAATGTAGTCTACTTAATGCCTACCACAATACCAACACACACTATTTTGATGATTTAATAAATGACTGAAATACCATCTTAAAATATATTTTGGGAATTTTCACAATAACAATTCCACTGAAATCGGGGCGCAGTGGTGGGGCGCGCATCCCATGTATTGAGACTCTCGTCTTGAGCGGTAGGCCCGGGTTCACTTCCACCCGTGGCCCCTTTCCGCATGTCATTCCCCGCTCTCTCTCTCTGGTTTCCGACTCTATCCACTGTCCTCTCTCTGCATTAAAGGCACGAAAAAGCCCAAAAAATAAATCTTTAAAAAAAAAAAAACAATTCCACTAAAATCATGGCCAAAAATGCCCGATGTATCAAATTTGATACAAAATCATATGGCAAAAAAAAAAAAGGGATTTTGTTATAAGGTTTAATAAACATCTCAGTTTCAAAAAAAATAGAATTTTCGGTCTTTTTTTTAATGTGTCAGGCTTTACAGGGTTCTTCATTATATTGTCATTAAGATAGATAGATATTATAATGTGCTGTTTATCCACCTTTGTGTGCAGACGCCTTTGGCTGAACACTGTTTTTTTGGAGTTTTGTGGCTCTCACTGGATAATCATGATGATTTTATAGACCATGATTCACTGCTTTAAATCAAACTCGCCAAAATGATGTGTTCTATCCAAACCATGTCAGGTTACCTGTATAACAATGAATAGTCGTACTCCGGCTGGACATGTTGTTTATTTTAGAGCAACATCATACAACAGCGGCATGAGTCCTAGTTATAGAATGGACATTTCCCAAGTCCTGACATTCAATGTGTGGCTCTACTACGGAAGTCACAGATGGCCAAAATACACATCTCCTCACCTCTTACAATGAAGTTAACAGAGGAATACTCTTTTCACCATTTATAACATTCAAAATGTCGAGCAATATTCATGACTATTAAACAAATAACTCACCCCTTCATTTAAACACTTTCCCTTTTCAGGTGTAATGGTCTTACCTATGTCTTACTTTGTGTATATATAACTCTTGACTTAGGGTCGAGGGTGGACTCTTACATTATGTGATTACTCCGCCCTGCTGATTTGGGTTGGTCACTGATCCAAGGCCGCCCCTCAGGGGGGATAAAGGGGAAAGCTTTCTGGGGCCCAGTCGCAATAAACATGGTCCATCTTAATGTTAAAGATATATGTAGATTCTGCCATCAGGGGGCTCTCAATCAATACTACAATAACAAAAGGTGACATGAGCTTGTATATCTTTGCCGATGTGAAACACCAAAATCTGTTATGTCTTTCCACCGGGGCCCTTTCTTGTCATATGGGGTACCATAGGAAAAGGACTCCGCTAATGTTACTTGCTTTTTAGCGGGGGTTTTAGGACTGTTTCTGTCTTCTGCTTACTGGGCCACACACTTCTCCCACTCGGCTGCATGTCTCTGTTTGATCCATAAGGCTTTGTCCAACACTGTGGACATGACATTTTATTGTTTGCCATGATAAAGGAAATACTTCTTTGAGAACCTTGAAATACTTGTACAGTCACCAAAACTGAGCATGAGCAAGGTGGAGATAATACATGATTGATAAGGTCCTTGTTGGTGGATGTTGATAATGGTGCCGCCTTAAGGTTAGAAGATTTGAGATATTGTGTGTTGGTTATAAATTTGTGCAGAAAAAATAATCGGAATGCAAGAAAAAAAAGGTTTGATGCTTAACATTTACTGGAGACCCCAGGAGACAACAAGTAACTATTTAATGCCGTTCACAAACAGATTGTTGCTAAAAAAAAAAGAAGTGCTTTGATTAAGTCACATGGCAATTAAATTGTTCGATTGGGATTTCCTCCTTTTAGTCCTTCTCTGATCACATACCTGATGAAGATAAAGTTTCTATTGTCCTTAAGTATTAAGATTTGCAATAACATTCATGATGGTTTTCTTAAACATCTGTTTAATTTTTGTTTTGACTGTGTCCTGCAGACGTCCAGCAGTTATTGGTTAGTGAAGAAAAGCTTCCCCCTGAGCAGCGTGAGTGGAACCCCAGTCTGGACCAGGAGGACGCTAAGCCCCCACAAATTAAAAAAGAACAGGAGGAACTGTGGAGCCATAGAGCGGGAGAGCAGCTTCAACGACTGGAGGAGGCTGATACCACCAAGTTCCCCTTCACTCCTGTGGAGGTGAAGAGTGAAGATGAAGAGACACCTCAGTCCTCACAGTGTAATCAGAGAGGTTTACAACCAGAGACCGAGATAAAGACTGAAGACTCTTCTGAACCACAGGCTGATACAAGTGATGCTTGGAAAGAGAGTAGAGAACATCAGTCAGACTCAGACACTGAGGAAAAAATAAAAAAGAGACTGACGACTGACAAGAAATTATATAGGTGCTCGGAGTGTGGTAAAATATTCAAAAAGAAACAGGATTTGATCCAACACATTATAATGCACAAAGTTGAGAAACCCTTCAGCTGCTCTGAGTGTGGTAAAACTTTCAAGTACAAAGGGCATATGATGGCACACATGAGTTCACACTGGAGAGAAACCATTCAGCTGCTCCGTGTGTGTGTTAAATCATTTAAAACTAAACCAGATGTTGGCAGACACATGAGAGTTCACACTGGAGAGAAACCATTCAGATGCTCTGTGTGTGGTAAATCATTTAAAACTAAACCAGGTGTTGGCAGACACAGGAGAGTTCACACTGGAGAGAAACCATTCAGCTGCTCCGTGTGTGGTAAATCATTTAAAACTAAACCAGATGTTGGCAGACACAGGAGAGTTCACACAGGAGAGAAACCCTTCAGCTGCCCTGTTTGCAATAAACGATTTAACCGCAGAGATAATGTGTTGAGACATGTGTTGGTTCACACAGGAGAGAAACCATTCAGCTGCTCAAAGTACAGTAGAAGATTTACTCAAAGTTCATCTTCTCACATGGCCATTCACACAGTAGAGACACCCTTCAGTTGCTTAGTCATGGGCATAATCTGGCACGCCACCATGGAGAGAAACCCTACAGCTGCTCTATTTGCTGTAAAATGTTTATCGATGAGTCTTCACTGAACACGCACATGGTACGTCACAGTGGTGAGAAATGCTTTAGCTGCTCTTCTTGCTGTAAAAGATTTAACCACAAAAGACATCTGAACCAACACTTACGAATTCACAGTGAGAAACCTTTCAGCTGCTCTGAGTGCAACAAAAGATTTCGAGGAAAGTCAGACCTGACACATCACATGGCTAAGCACACAGTGGAGAAACTCTACAACTGCTCTCTATTTAGTTTGTCTAGCCAGTTAAAAAAACACAAAAAAGTGTGTTGGAGGTCCGGCTTCAGAGCTTCACCAAAACCAAACTGAGGAGAAAAGAGAGGCAAAAACAGAAGCTGGCGAAGAGGAGGAGAACAAGCCAGGAAGTCTGATCCAGAGAGATATATGCAAGCAGAGACTGAGGTCAAGACAGAAGATTCTTCTGAAATAGAGACTTTAAGTTCTAAGAAAGCGTTTAGATAGGTAGTTATACTTTACAAGCTTTGACTAATTTTGCGTTTGTTAGACACATGGGATTGTTTGATATTGTCACATAATCATCATGACAAAAGTTTTTTTCTTTGGTATCAGACCATTGACTGGGGTACTTGATGATACTGAATGTTTTTGTTTATTATCGATAAATTAGTTTTCAGTTTTCTTGTTTTTTTTCAATTAGCTCTTTAAGATCTAATGGGGCCTGCACATTAAGAGCTTTATAGTTCAGTGAGTAAGGGATAAGGCAAATCATTCTGTCAAATAATGTGAATAATTCTGGCAGGTAAATGAGCACAATCTGTCAGGTTGGGTAGCTCATTCTGAAAGGCAGTGTAGCTCACACTGTTGGAGGTAGCTCAGTTTATCGGGTTGAAAAGTAAGGGATCTCAGTTTGTCAGGGGGAGACCTCATTCTTTCAGGAAAGCTGGCACAATATGTCGGAGAAGGTCGCTCATTCTGTGAAAAGTAGCTAATTGTTTTGCAGTTGAGGTAGCTCATTCATTCAGGAAAGTTAGCACAACTTGTCTGTTAAGGTGGTTCTTTCTGCTAGTTAATTTAGCCAAATCTGTCAGGTTTTATAGCTCATGTAACTTTTTTTCCATCTCTCTATCTTGTTCCCTGGCAACATTTGATGTCATAATAGTGTGTACCATTTCTCACTTATTCTATTCTCATACTCACACACTGCACGCCTGTCGTTGTAAAGTCTGTAAGGGTTCAGTGTTTAGGCTTTAGGGTGGAAATCTGGGATTAAAAAAAGGTGCTTGAAAAAAAGATATTGTTATTAAGAGCATTCATGTATGTGTGTCACATTCAAGCTTTTACTTCGACCATCAAACAAGTATTATGTCCATTTTTTGGGGCCTTAAAATAAAATAAGTTACTCCAAAATGCCAGTACAACCAAAATATAACAGTCTGCTACAGTATAATATAAGTATTTTCTATTAATGATCAGTTATTTTTTACTGTTAAAGTGATAAAATCATTTTAATATTCATGCCAGTATATGCTGTAATATTTAAAAAGGTTTTGGTTGTAAGTTGGATAATGAACGGTCACGCTGGGCCCTGTGACTTTTCTCACTCTGTTTCCCTGAGAGATGGCAGACAGACGGTTACCCCATCCCCAGCTGCTCGCTCTAAACAATCAGAGGCTGTTTAAGGGACCATCAATACATTAATGAACTGTATTATAGTATCATTACGCTACTTACCCTTCATGTTATGTGACCTGGTGTCATCAAATCCATCTTAGATATTAAAACTCACTGCAGACATTGAGACACACCTCATCATACAATGTTATTGTGCTTATTTTCTTGTTTTATTCATCTTTATTATTAATAATAATTCATGTTTTTTTCTTATACCTTTCAAGTTTAAGACAATGTTGTTATTAATCTAAGATTCTTTGATCAAACAAAGTCACTTAAGCTGAAGGTATTGAGAAAAAAAAAATTCCTTTTTAATGATAAATATAAATACAAAAAATTGAAAAAACACAATTGGGTCATATCATGAAGTCTGTTGATTCTTGTGAGTATTAAAAAAGAGGACACTGCTCGCATGAAATGAAAGTTAACTTACTATAACAGCTGCAGACGGGTTTGTCCCCATGAAACACTTATTTATTGATGGTCCCTCACCGCAAATTCACAGCAATGGAAGGATGGTCCTTCACTTCCAAATGACCAAGAGCTATTTCTTCAAGTTTCAATAGAAGTTGAATTTAAAAATGTAGTTCAACTTTAGAACCAGAGGGAGGTGTTAATGCAACTTTTTAATGAATGAATGAATGTTTTTTCTTTTTCATGTCAGGCCAATTATATGACCCATCTCACATGGAACTATTTTGATACATTGGCTGAGAGACCGGATTTATCAGTAGAAATACAGATTATGTTAAACAGAATAACTTAGAAGGGTAACTATGTTTGGTTTGGTACCATGGCCACGTTGGGGTGCAGGGGAGTGAAGAAGCTGAAAGCAGAAAGAGCAATAAACAGGAAAAATGAAGATATAGAAGTGTGGTATGGATAGCTGAGTGCAAGAGTTTCAGACAGCAAATAATGACGACAAGATGTGGCAAAAAAAGAAGGAAGGCACAGCAGGTTTTTTTTTTTTTTTCAATACAGCCAAAAATGTAATATACATCAAGTGTAAGAATGGACAGGGGGGGGCAGTGGTAATCACGAGGCTGAGACTGGGTCTGTTCACTAAATCCTTGGCTGGCAATGGTTGGTAAGCACCATGATGGAAAATGCACCTGTGGAGAGGCAGAGAGAGTGAATCAAGGTTTGACAGCATGCATTAACTATCACAGAGAGAGATTATCATGCAAGCAGAACTGACAGAAAGGGAAATCACTTCTCAGCGGGGTGCAATGTGAAACAACAAAAACTTTTATAAAACGTCTTCATTGCAATATGCAAGGATCCGTGGAATCCACATTCATTTTATTATTGACATATGGAAGGCAGCAATACGTCTAGGCTGCGTCTAGTCTGCCGGAAATATAAAAGAAGAAGAAGAAGAAGACCGCATGCGTGAAATATAAAACGCAGATAGAAAGGCTAAAGAGGAGCTGAGAAAATGTGGTGTTGCATGTATTGAATATTGAAACTTGACTAGTTAAGATAATTTGAATTATTTCATTAATATTATTGTTATTTTTTTCCTAATAGTAAACTGTATTCTGGTCCACACTCCAGCACAGTAGGTGGCGGTAAAGCACCTTAAATGCGCCGCCAGCCATTAAACTGAAAGAAGAAGACAGCATGCGTGTCTGTGCTACTGTGCTACCTTTGTAATGTTAGAAACGACGTCAGGGTTGAGTTCAGACTTTCTTCTGTCACTCTGGGATTGTGTGTAAGATGTCCGGGTTTCAGGATCTCAAAGATTTATTCAGACGGCGGCTGAGAGACCTGTCAGGACAAACATCAACATGTGGATACGAAGAGGAGATCCACCGACAAAGAAAACTGCTGGATGTGATTTTAACACCTGAAATCAAGCTGCAGAGAACAGGTTAGGTTTTCTTTCCACTGATGGAAAAGTGTTTCCTGTTCATGTTTCAGAAAGCCGAGCCTTTAGCTCACATAGACGCACACAGCTCAGTGTTAGCCACAAGCTAGCTGCTGCTGCTACGACAATCAGATGGTTTACTGGACTTACAGATTCTTTGGTGGCTGTTGTGGAATCATAATATATCTGATGAAGACGATGGTGATATTTAGGATGGTCTTGATGCTGATTAGGACTCAGCAGTCGATGTTGTTGTTGATGACGATCTGTATCAGGGAGGGGCAACTTTGGTCACAGCAAGGGGCCACATTCATTTAATTCTCACTGTCAGAGGGCCAAATTGTAGAATACAAAAACGATTACAGTCAATAATGTCTCCAATTTAACTCGACATATACCAGCGATCAAATATTATTATGGACATATTTCTGGTTTTCATGATTTCATGGCAGATTTTGTCATGTTTCCAATTAGTTGATCTGTAAAAATTGACCCGAGGGCCACGTTGAGGGTTGATGGGGGCCGCCAGACGCCCAACCCTGATCTATAGTATACATTTTAATTATAAAAAAAGTGTGTTGCCTCTGGCCACTTCCTGTCAGCACCTGTGTGTCCGATCGCATTTAAAGCTGTTTGTTTGCATTAAGTCTACTGAAGTTGTTTCCTCCTCTCTAGTTTCTTGCTTGTGTAGTATTTACTCTCTAATGTACCTCTCTTTGGATGAAAGCGTCGGCTACATGCTGCCGTTATTGCCCAATTCAATTATGGTTATTTATTATATTATCAACAAAAAAGGGCTGACATCCTTCAGTCGGTTGGTCGATGAGCTCTCTTCTGATCATAATATCATTGGTCCGACGTGGAGCTTTCAAAGGGAAGATGAGCTTAATCCATTGGGCCTCAATGCAGGGATGGGAGGGAGAAATGATGTTTTTATCTTTGATATCATTTAAATATAGTTTACTCCTATCTTTCTGTTTAATTCATCATGTAGTTTAACAGACGGAAAGTCAAAACGGCTTTCATGACTGTGTGGACTGTCTCCTTGTGGATGAGACTAAAGACGGGGAGGCACATAAAGCATAACACACTATGCAGTATACACTATCAGTGTTTCCTAGACACTTGGGAGGGATGCCTAGCTATATTGACGGCCGCCCAAGTATATTTCATAACCTTTTTTATCCATAAAGAGAGAGAGAGAGAGAAGTCTACTGGTATGTCCCATACGTCCCCAGTCTTCATGCACTGATTGAGAGTCCAACCTGTAATGTTAAAACAGAAGCTTATTATGCCTTAGATTTAATACAACTTTCTTAAAAAATGACTTTCCATACACAAGCTACACTTTATCCTCAGTTGGGTATACATCACTTTCCTGCAGCATTTGGTACAAGCATTGTTGATGATGTTCTTGACCTGCAGCCAACACCTAAAGGGCTACGTTCAACAGTTTAGGCTGACTGGTATAAGACACGCTCCTCCTAGACAAAATAAAAGCTGGAAATCCTTCCACTGTCAGAAAATGTGAACTATCCTAGGCTCATTAATTCAGCATATTTTTGTGCATGTCACGCTTCCACAGAGCTCTCTTATCTGAATGCAGATGATTCTTTATTT